CCCCAAAACCCCAAAACCCCAGTCAACTAGATTTGAGGAATTTGAGTTAAAATTTTAATTAAAATTTTATTAGAATTAATATTCATTTCAAATAAGTAAAACATTATAGAAGTTGTAATTCTCAAAAGCCTTAATGATTTTTATGAAAAAGACATCAGTGCCCTCGTTAATTAGGAATTCAGTCAATATGTTATTATCATTTCCTCTGTTTTGCTTTACTGTAGATGAAGTTTACATTGGCGTTTGCTTCTTAGATTCATTCATTTGAGTAGCTGCATCAAGAGTCTTCTGATAGAAACCCACGAATCCACCTTCGCAATCTTTTGAAGATTGATAGAGAGTCTCAAAGAAGTTTTTAGCTTCCTCTTCAAATTTCAAATTAGCAACATGCATTATTTTAGAAGGATTAAGTTGCTGCTAAAGATCTGACAAATTTGGTAATCCCTGCTCTGATTGTTAATGCGCTTTGAATAAAACTTTGTCACAGAACATTTTAATTACCAGTCTATCTTCCTTTTTAAGAGTTCTAGTCATCTCAAGGATTGTTGTTGCGATGCAATATTCTTTTATGCTTTGGATCTTTTCATTAATGTAATCAGAGTTTTTGTCATTCTAGATGTTGACAGCATGGGATTTATCCTAGGAATAGTCCATCATACCACTATGATCATTCATTTAGAGGTCTCGTTTTAGAATGGCTTCGTACAATTTACTGCATAATGCAATTACATCTGGTTTTTTAAGCGAATATGAAATGGAGAGTTTAAGCCAATGACTTGAAATAGATTTCTCATTAGTTTCCCCATATATAGTAGGATAAGAATCAGATGCAATATCGGCATAAATATAAGCCTCCTGTAGCTTTCCTTATTCTTCAAGTATGTTGGCAAGCTGCTATGCAACTTATGCTGTTGAAAGTGATTATACTCCAAAATAGCTTTCATATATCAAGTAGGCATTTTAAAAATGCTCAAGTGCTGCATCTTTGTTCTTCATTTTTAGAAATAAACGTCCAAAATCCATATGAACTTCGGCAGTTTAAATATGATTTGAGCCAAGTACCTTAAGACAGCAGTGATGTGATGATAAATAAAGATAGCTTGCCTCTTCAAGTTTATTTTTCTAAATAAGCAAATAAGCCATTATACCGAAAATTGAACAATGAAGGGGATGGTTACTGCCCCAGTGATGAACAAGGGTTGTTAATGCTTTTGTAAAGTACTACTCCTCTTCAGGAGATAGATCCATTCCATGAAAAGATCTCATTAAGATGCAATAAAATCTAATGGATTCAGCATGTAGAGGATGGATATATTTTAGGGCTTCCAAAGCCTGCTCTTTAGCTATTTAAAATTCATAGTTATCTAAAGCGATTTCACAAATCTCTGCTAAGGTTGATATGTCTTCTTTGTCTTCAAGTGATCTCTTCATTATTCTTCTCATTTTGCAGCATTTTAAAGCGTTTTCAATTTATCCTTCCTCTTTGTATTCTTTGTACTTATCTGACAAAAGTTTATATGGTAGATTCCTTAAACTATAGGTCCTGCTTTTAGGTACTATCTCTATTTTAATATAGGATTTCTCTGGATCCCCAAAAGGAATTTCAGATTTACCAAATTCTTTAAAAAAGTCATCGTCCTTGTGCATCTAAGTTGGATTTATCTTATCAGTAATCCTATCACCTATTCTTTACTCAAATCCACTAGTATTCTTTGATTATTAGAAACTATTACTTCCTAAAATTTTTATTCCAGAGTGATACACAAAGCTAAAGAATATTGCATTGTAATTTATTTAGTAAGGCTATTTGAATATGTCTTCTGATTATAGATTGAAGTATTAGATTGTTAATGGAATAAGTACCTCTGTCCAGAATTCTCTACTTTCCTATCCAGATCCGAATACCAAGTTGATATAGTCAACAATAGATATCTTTATGATTTAATCTAAATCCTTGCATAGCTCCTGGTACTCATCTTGTAATTCTCTCTCTTTCTGTTCTTACTCATGTTAGCCGATACTGCTATTGTTATTCCGGTTTCCTTTCATTTTTAGGTTGCTAGGATTATTTTGGGATTTATAGTTTACTTATCTTCTGTGAGTTTCCATATTGGCAACATTTTCCTTGAATCTTTACTGGCGATCAAGAATCATGGATGAGATTTGTTTATTCAAAATATTTTTCAATGTTCTACCAATCATTTCAACTTTACATAACTGTTAAACATGAGGAACATTTGAATTTTGGCAAACCAAACCCAGATATCTCATATTCACTTATTAAGAGTGGAAGCATGTAGTTAAGCTTTCACTATCTATAGGCCTATAATTATTAATAAGTTAATATTTTACATTATGATTAAACTGTCTAATAGATTAACTAGGTTTGGTATCACTTTAGTTTTTAAGAACCTAGAAGCCTCGTTTAATTCAGCATAGTCATTCTAAATATCACATTAGTATTAATAAAAACTTACATCCTCATCCTTAGATTTAGTTTCCTAAGAAGGTTGAAAGCCTAGATCTTTTCTAGCATCAGCTTTTAATGGTCTCTCATAGACACACACAAATTCTGGTCTTAGGTACCTATCTTTCCTAGGATATGCATCATTTAAATCAACATCATAAGGGAAGATTTCGCTAAAATTTATAAGAAATCAAATTTAAAAAAAAGTGAAACTTACTTAGTTTTTAGGACATAATATGGTTCTTCAAGATATTGAAGCTCACTAAAATGATACTCTGACTTTTTTGTGGGAGTGTCTGGATCTTTTCTATTATTTTTACTCTCAGGCTATTAGTAATGATAAATTTTGATAAAGAATGAGACTGGAACACTTTCGAACAATCTTACATTCTAGTTGCTATTAGACTATTAGCCTTTCTAAGAAATTCTATTTTCCTTTAGATTCAAAACATCACCCACATATTCAAGCTCTTACTTGAGTTTTTTATCATGAGGTACATATTTCCCATCATTGTAAAATCCAATGCTAGGACCTAGTTAGGGGTGAATTGGAATTGCAGCTATTGCAAGAGCTCTAAAACCTTTGTAATCAATAAGTGCTGAAAGAGGGATTCTAAGTTTGTGTGAGACATCAGGTTTTGATAAAAGGAAAAGGGCATCAAACATAACTTCCATAGATAAGAATTCTCTACCATACATTTTCCACTTCAAGTTCTGAAATGGATCAGAGTTTCTATTTTGATTTTAATTATTAGCCATGTAACTATTATCCAAATTAGAATTCTATAGACCATTTGAGGTTCTATTAGCCGCAGTGATATTAGTTGTTCCTGCATTATTATGATTCTAAGACATTGGCCCATTCTAATCTAACATTTGGTCACCTTGATGAGTTATTTTGATGCATATATTTTTTTCAAAATAAAAGAGAGTGCCCACATTATTTATTGCTGCATCATCATCATCTAAAAATACCAGATGCTCCTCTTAAATCTTTTAAACAGGTATATATTTGTTCTTTCTAATATTTTGTGAAACTGGAATGTGGATTTCATCAATTATTTCTTAAACTAGTTGTTAGGCAGTCCTTCTGAACTTTCCAACATGATCGAAAAATCTTTCAGATAATGTCAAAGTATCTTTGAGATTTTTATCCGCAGAAATAAGGTATCCCCAATAGTTTTGAAATTTCAAGTCCCATCCCTTTTACTCTTTCTTAGACTTCTTTTTATTAAGATTATCTGATTGATTATAATATTAAGTGACGCTATTTTGAAGGTTTTTGAGTTTTATCTTCGCTTCTTAAGAATCTTCAACGATGTGCTCGCCATCTGAGTCATCATTTGATTTTTAATTTATGTTCTGATCAATATTGCCATCTCCATCAATCTTGACATTATTTATTTGGAAATTTTACTCAAGAATAGTATCTAAATCAGGAAACTCACTGTCTGATCTCCCATAATCGTAATCCTATTAATATTTATTCTACTAGGGTTTTCCATTTTTCCCGAAAAGATCAATTTATTGAACTGCTTGCTATTGCTTTTATTGGACTTAATTAGTCTAAATTTTATTGTTCGAGGTATTCGCTTTGTTATTGCTGGAATTATTTTGGAGTCCAGGCTAATTCACATTTTTATCATTATTTGAATTATTATTCTTGGAGTTTTTACTTTTACTCTGATCTTAAAAATTTAATTGTTTTGATCTCATATCTTTCTAAGGCAGTACTTCATCTTCATCAGACTATTAGTTATTATCCAGAAATGTATTTTTAGCTGCACCTATTTAATTCATCTGTGTATCATTTTTCCCCATCATAAAGTTGCTTTCATCTTCAATGAACCTAGAGTTCTACATCTTTGATGACTTTATGAGTCTCTCCATCTACATTATTATTGATCAGAATTAGAATATTCTTACCCAGAGTTGAGTCTCATACTTGTTATCACATACAAAATACCATGTTGTAAGTGCTTAGTTCTTTTTAGTCTGCTTAGCCTTAGACTTTGCCCGAGTTTAAGTTTTACTTTTCTTCATTCTAGTCCTTTAGTCATCAATTGATTCATCTTAATCAAGATCCTCATCTTCCTCTTCTTCCTCATCATCATCTCCATCATCAATAGTTGGATTGTATTCTCTACCCTTAATCATATATTTTTTGGGAAACACAACCTAATTAAAGCTTTATCGTAATATCTATATATACCTTGAAAGCTATGTCAGATGCCTTTGCAAGTTTTTTGAATTTCTTTTTATCATCTTCTTTGATTTCATCAACTGCCAATATTCTCTTTATTGGTATTGACTATTTAACTTTGATTTTCCCCTCTTCAAACTATTGTGATTTCATTGTGCGATCTATTTTTTATATTTCATTATTTAAGCATACCATCGAAGTCTGAAGGGACTGACTTATAATAAGTTAAGGCATTTTAATCCATTTTCAATAGTCTGAAATGGTAACTCCATCCCTTATTGCTAAGTTTGTTGACTTTTCCAAGTGCTTCTTTTGGAACTGTGATTTCTTGATTTGAATATTGATTAAGAAATGTCGAGTTATTTAAACCAGTCAGTTAAGAACTATAAATCAAAGACATAAACAAACATTAGAATTTTTACTTGTCTAATCTAGATGAATTTTAATTGAACTTGGCATTAGACAAAGCGTCATCTGTTGAAATAAATTATTAGAGTAGAAAGATAGTTACTTTTACGATTGGATTTCATTTTCTTAATAGAAATTAAGATTACAATTTAAATTAAGCTATCATTAATTATGAAATTAGGGAAATCAACATCTTAGAGGAATCGGAAATAAATGAGTTTTTTAATTCTATAATTCATACAAGCCTACCATAATTTTTAATCAGATGAATGACATAATGCTTCATCATATTTTCAGGTCTATTACTTTCCATAATGTGGTCACATGTCTCTTTTTTTCGGGTTTTGGAGAAAAATAAGTCGCTTCTTCTTTTATTTAGTTGGCTTTTGAAATGAGACTCTTTGCACTTTGACTTAAACTTCTTCTAAGAATAGATCTATCTACGGTATTTTTATTTTTCTTCTTCTTTGGAACTGCCTTTACCAGTAACAGTTAGTTACTCTTTAGGTCCATATCAACCTTCACAACTGGTCTTCTCTGAGTCTTGGATCTGTTTCTGAAATACTCATCATTCTTTTTGGAGTGGATGTTCTCAATATAATCAGATTCCTCATCAACTTGATTATTTGATTCAGTAAGAGTTATTTCTGATTATCTGATCTAAGATTTATCTTTTATTATTGTGGTCCTATCTATCAAATCTATTGTATGATGACTTGTATTGATTATGTTGCTTTAGACATGATCTTCGTTTTGAAAATTGTCACTATATATATTGACCTGGATTGTTTCATTTTATACTCTGTGACTTTTACCACTCTAGCGTACGTATTATTATGGCTCTTCACTTCCGTAACCTCTAATCTTATTTGTACTTGAATCCCTGCTCTTTTTGTTATTAATCAATGCTCTGTACTATATTTCTTTGATTCCTTCTTGCCTCTTCTTAAGCTCTGGGGAACTAACCATGTTTCTTTATATTTGGTAGTAGTGCTGGTTTTAGTGGTGTTGATATGAGAGAAGCTAATGCTAATTATGCTATCTATTAAGCTAAATCTGACGACTGCTTTATTATTGCAGAGCAATCTTTCTTTACAATTACTGCTACTGTTAAATCATTGTGTTACGCTTAATGGCTAGAGCAAGTGATGATTTTTCAATGAATGCTTTTTTATCTTGACTATCTGAAGAAGTGATTTGAATTGAACTGTGAATCGGTGATCTATGTTGGCGTAAAGTTATGATCACAGTAGAGTTCTTATCATTTTTGACAATGGATGATTTTGTGAGTGTTTTATCAGCTTCAGACTTAATCACTGGCTTGCTTAGTATAGAAGATCTTGCTTCTTGTTAATAAGCTGTTTGGGGATTATAAAGCTTTAGCTACTCTCGCTACTATGTCAGCTTGTCAGGATTTTACAAGTTTCTAGATCTGGGAGTCTTTAACAGCATATTTTAATAATATCTCTCTGCACATAAATTAAATCATTAAATTATTGCACTTGATATAATAAAAATGGAATTATCCTAAATCTATTTGGCTTTTATATCACGGGGTTTTGGGGTTTTGGGGTTTTGGGGTTTTGGGG